ATTAGCATTAGCTATATTAGTGTGTTAGAGATTAGCATTAGCTATATTAGTGTGTTAGAGATTAGTATTAGCTATGCTTAGTTACAGGCTGTAATTAGTTACATGCTATAGTTAAATATTGTTATTATGTGTCTATTACCTGTCTAATACTAATTTGCTAAGCATTATGCTATAACTATTCTTTAACCTAAATATCCTACCTTATTGTACTAACTATTGCTCTAAGCAAGCTTTGCTTTTACAGATCATTTATGAACTGTCGTAGTATTTTACTCTAAGTGCTAATACTTTATAAGATTTAGTATATAAGTATTTTATAAAGTATAATGTCTAGTATTAAACACTATTACTTACTTAAGCTATATAGAAGTTGTTAGGTAGTAAAAAGCTATATAAGTAGTAAGTGCGCGCTATCTATTAGCTTATGTATAGCTTTAGGGATATAATCCTTATAGCCTACACTAGCTTTAGAAAAAGTATTGTTTTACATGCATATTCTATGTTTATAAGTAATATTACACTTTAGATTATACTACTATTAAAGCTAAAAAATAAGTAGTTTAAAGTAATTTACTAGTATTCTAAAGCACATCTATGTCTAGTTACTAAATAAATAAAAAATGCTAACTTAAAAATATTCTAAAAAATCTAGTAGCTTTTATACACTTATATTTTACTAAGTTTAAAGTAGGCTATATTACTAGCGTTCTAACAGCTATTTACTAACACTATATTTTATACTTAAGTTAGGTTAGTAGTATTAGACAAGTACTATGTTATATAATATTAAAATTTTTTTTAGAAAAAGTATTTATAGTTTTATAAGCTTTAGCAGTGTTTATCTTTTAATATAACATTTTTTACTTATACTACTATATTTAACAAGTAGACAGAAAAGGCAGTACACTATTTTAGTAGCTTTAGGCTAGAGGGTCTAGAGATAGGTAATAATCTAATAGGCAGCCTAGAGGTAATTAGGACATGTGTAGATTACCTTAAAATTATATACACTATTATTTTAATTAATAATTATAGTAAAAGTATGTATACTTAGCTCTTATATATTATTAATTATAAGTTTAGTACTACTAGTTTTTCTAGTAACTTAAAGCTTATTTTAAAGACATACATGTTTATTAATAGTTACACTTATATTACTAACTTTACAGGGCTTCTTTAATCTTGTCTTGTGTTAGATAGACACTACTCTATAGCAGATGCTAAAAAGGTAGTCTAGGCGTATACTAGTTAGGTTGTAAACGCAGACTAGCAGAAGATATATTAAAATATTAAAGGTGCTAATGCCTCTATCTAGATTATTGTCTGTACAACTGCGCTTAAAATAAGTATAGATATTTCTAGA